GGTATCCCAGCATGCCGAGCAAAAACATGTGACACTGGTATGTACACTCGTCATAGCAAACCTTTATTTGTCAATTTTGTTCATCAAACTTGTGGCAGCTGTGCCAACTTTGGTGAAGTGAAACAAAGCTTTAATTGTATGGTGTGAATATCCTTTATTTGTGACCCCTATTCCAAAACTAGACATTTTTAGTGCAATTGGTTCACTTCAGGCTTTGTTGTCTTAAGGTTGACATTTTGACACTAGTCTGACAACATTTTGACAACACTTAAGTTTGACCACTTTTGACAGCTTTAGACATTTTGATATGATTTCGACAACATTTTGACATTTTGTGAACAAATTGACATTTTGACAATGTTTTGACAATACTTTGACAAAATCTGACAACATTTTGACATTTCGACATCATTTATGACTTTTTACAACATTTTGGTAACACTGACATTTTGACAGCTTTTTGACAAAACTTTTTGACATTTTGACATTACTTTGAAAATGTTTTGAAGACACTTTGTCAAAATTATGACATCTTTTTGACTTTTGAAGTTTTTAAAACATGACAACTTTTGACATGATGACTGACTAAGTTCCTCATATTCTGTTGCGTCAGTCATTTTACTCATTCCGTGATAACTACTAACAGCCACAGTAATCAGCTCAGTACACTTGGGCGCTGAACAAAATTTTGGTATTTTCGTTGTCAAGATCCAATGCCACAGTGCAACCCCGATGAGTACCAGGAAAGCCCGCGAGGTGTCCAGACTCTCCACCGCTGCCTGAAGAACGGCCAGTTCTCCCCCAAGCAGTGCGACACCTCCGGTCACTGCTGGTGCGCCAATCCGGACGGTTCTGTTGCGACCGAGCAATTTGATGTGCCAACAGGGAAAGAGTTGGTCTGTGTTTCAGGTGCGGTTGAATATAAGATCTCTATTTGTGTTTTTCAGATGGGGGTGGGGTGGGGGATTTGTGTTTTGTCACATTGGGGGTGGGGGATTGAGGGTGGGGGGGGGGGTATGGATGGTGGGCAGGATCGTAGAGGGCTAGATCGCCTGCTTATTTCCTTGTATATTTCTCCTTCAAAAAAGTTCTAAAAATTTGCATCTGTGTGAAAAAAAAAATGAAAAAAAATCGAGCAACTGTTACATTTTTGTATGTGGCTTGACAAATGGTAAAATAGACAAAAAAAACCCAACTCTAGCATTCCAAGTAGCAGGCTTTTCAAGAATTACTTCCAAAATTGGAGGCAAATATTTGACTAAAAAATCTGGCCGAAGAAAATTAAATTTCCCCCCAAATTCTACTTTTACAGGGTGAGTACAAAAAAAAACCCCCCAAATGTTGGGACTTTTGTTTTAATGAAGTTCTGCAATCTAGGATATGAAAGCCCAACTCATAAGCTTTCTTTTAGTACAAGAATCATTCAAATTACTTACTTACTTACTTTTAAGGTTATGGAGTTTTAAACACAACCACCGTTTTAAAGTTCTGTCCATAAAAGGTGTTCAGCAAAACGAAAACAATTCACACACATCCCTATATGTGACTTGTTTTCGTTTTGCTGAAAGAACACTTATCTTTTTGTGATCTGTAGGCCGAATTTTAAAACGGTGGTTGTGTTTAAAAATTTGTAACTTGAACATTAATTGAGTGATTTGAATGATTCCTGTACTAAAAGAAAGCTGAAGCATTGGGCTTTCATATCCTAGGTTTTAAAAGTGCTACATGCAGAACTGCACTAAAACAATAATCCCGACATTTTTTTTTGTTTTACTCGCCCTGCATTTCAAACTGATTCTTTCATTGAAACAGAGCCGCCCTGCCACAGAGAGCTCCTGAACAACAAACACAAGACCGAGAGGGGAGAGGTCGTGACCTCTGACCCCGTCTGCAGCTCCACGGGATGGTACGAGCCGGCCCAGTGCAGTCCCGCGACCGGCGAATGCTGGTGCAGCGAGAGAGACGGAACGGTGGTGATCGGTTCCATCAGACGGCAAGGAGAACCACTGGATTGCAGTATGTTTTATACCGTTTTTTTTTTGCCCTTTCAGTTTTGGTTTTGTTTTTGTGAGTTGTGGCTTTGCAGCTGTCCAAAAAGTCAATTACTGTTGAAAAGCATACTTGGTAAGACTAGTAATGGTACTATACTCACCGTGAAATTCTTCTTTCTGGCGTGCTGTCATTTGAAGAAAACAAAAGACACATTTTTTGGAAATTTCTGTTAGTAGATGTTTTTTTTTTTCGTTATACAGCAAACGTTGAACGCAAAGTCGATTTATTTTGATGATAATCCGACGCATTTTCGAAAATTTTGATATTGCAATATTTCGATGATTAATAAATTTCTATCGGCGATATCGATATCAATATAGTACCGAATCGAGTGATATTTATATATCGACGATACTTAAAGCTATAGTCCATCATTTGTATCATTATTGTTGAAAAACGTACTTGGTTGAAAGATAGTAAGGGGACTGAACTCCCTGTGAAATTATTCTTTCTGGCCAGCTGTCATTTTGAAGTAATCAACGAAAGAAGGCCTTTCCAACGGTGCGTCTTAAGACGCCCCGTAGGAAAATTTAAATTAGTAGTTCGTTTTGTTATTCGGCGCAGCGCGCGCAAGCATTGGCATGACGCACAGGCGCGCGCGGTTGCTATAATTCGTCGGATCAGTGCGCGACATCGCATATAGCTGCAATTCAAAACAATTCAAAACATGATTCAGCAACTTTTGATTTGAAATTGAGATCCTAGAAAGCTGTTTTTCTCGGAATATACAGCTGAAACTGAGCTGAAACTTCATCAGGTTAGTTGTTCAGTATCCTTCATTAGATTTTGAACACTTTTGTTGCTTCAAACGAACACAATGCACAAAATACAAATGATGGACTATATCTTTAAGTACACCTCTTTAGATTTGGAACAGTTTTGTAGCTTCAAGCGAACAAAATGCACAAATGACAAAATGATCTACCCTACGTTTAATACCCTTGTTTATGAGCAAATTTGAAATGATTGATTTGAAATGATTGACACTTTGTCAATCTTTGTAATTTTGTTTTCTTTGCACTCCATCAGATGCACAATGTCTCGGTGATGCAAGTAACATTGTTGCCAGCATAGTTTGCTCCAAGCAGTACAACGGTTGCCCTAGCGACGCGTTCTGTCACATTCCGCCCAATCACACCAAGGGCAAATGTTGCTACCTACCGTCAAGAGCCATGCGTGAGTACAGTTTCCTTTCCTTTTAAGGGAACACACTGTAGTTACAAAAAAAGGTTAAGGGGACGAACCTGTGTTCACAGGAACGGAGTGCCCATCTCTCTTTCGAAGCGATTGGGCCAGACTCATTTGCTGCTGTGGGGGGATCGCCACACCTCCTCCACAGCGAGTCTGTTACCTTGCCAGCATTGAATAATGCTGGTACCCATTTAACACCTGGGTTGAGAGGAGTAATTGAGGTAAAGCGCCTTACTCAAGGGCACAACACGCATGGCCACGGCAGGGCTCGAACCCACAACCTCACGATCATGAATCATATGCACTACCATTAGACCACACATGCAAGGATCATTTTCAATTAATACATTATTCGGCGAAGTCCTATCACCTGAAGTATATTTGGGTCGACGTCAACTGCGCATTATTTTATTTCTGTCCGATTGTTAAAAATATTTTGTTTTTTTATTTTTCAGCTTGATTGCTTGTAGACAGATTCTGAGCAGACTTCGACAACGTTTTTGTTTCCAATTATATGGACAAGTAACTGTAATACACAAAAATCTTAACCTTAAATCTACTTTCTTTGATGTTCGTTTGAGTGTTGATGTGATCATTAATGTGCCTAAATTTGTAGTTGTAAACATGTAGGGTAATTCCAAATGGTAGATCTAGCATTGCACAAACCAGAGGACTGACTTTTGAAGTTCAGCGTAGAAGTACTTTAAATTTTTTGTACATGTATGTAAACCCAAAGTGGCTATGTACATGTACTACTACTTAACAATTTTTTATGAAAGAAAAATAGATATGAGATTGAAGTGTGCTTATTTACTGCATAAATAACTTTTCCATTCTGCGATTCTTTGATTAAAAGCAATGTCCACAAAATTTAAAATATCATGAAATATCCTACTTGATTGTAAGTAAATAATAGGATCAAGCATCCTGTCAAATCGCTGCGCCTGGAATGCTGTCATTTTCAAGATACAGGAATTATCGTCATTTTCTCTTAACCAGTTCATGCTGGGATTATTGCGACAAGAACGGAACCAGGCGTGGGATTATTTTTCACTTCACCCCAAGCCAGGCGGGTTGAAGCCATCACCCTCGGGCAGCACCCTCATATTTCCGGCCTCGCTCGCTGTGAGCGGATCACTGACAGATATTTCTGGCCTCGCTCCCTGCGTGTTTCATTTGTCATCCGTTTCAAATACCACAAAACTTTGGCGTGTGAACATGGCCTCAGGCGCGAACTGGTCAATGGTCATGACCAAACCATCGCAGGGGGAAAATAAACTGATCGAATTCGTGAATGAGAATTATTTTCCTGGGTGACAAATTGGTATCATACCGCATGAGGGCGCAAGTAAAAATGTATTAATGAACATTTTGGAAGAAAGAGCTTTCAACGGAAACCCTGCTTTGAATCAAGAAAAAAACAAAGTGTTTTTACACTTTTTTCACAATTTTCCACCGAGCTGAAATTTTGATTGTTTACTTCTTAATAACCTGCTTCAGATTTTTTGTAATGTTCCTCGAAGTGGCAAAAATATGTATTTTTGTTTAGCAAATGGTGCCCATTACCTTTTAGTTAGTTGTTTGTCGTATTTTATTGTGGTATATTAAAAGATTAGATTAAGAGTTACATTAGATTGAGTTACATTAGATTTAATGAAGAAAAGTGCTTGCAACAGTAAAACAAGATTTCAGCCAACTGCAAACAGAAAGAAAATTGAAGAATCACACAGGTTTTTTTGAAATGTGAAATTCATATGTTTTCAATCTCTTTTATTTGGACGTTTTGTAACAAAATTGTTTACTATTTTGTTTGCTAATAAAGGACGAGTTATCATGGACAACAAATGTGTCATTTTGTGTCATTTTAAAGCTACGCAGAAACATTGCAATTACCGGAAAAGTCTCAAAGTGAAGATGGGACTGTTATGAAATACCCTGTGAAATTATTCTGCCTGAAAAGTTATTGTTTGGAAGCAAAACTATTATTCAAGGCGTTTTTAAAAAAGTGTGCATGTGGGCACACTTTAATAAACATTTTTTGACACTGCGTACATTTTCTCCGTTTTGTCAAAATGTCCACTGAGCTGAAACTTTAACACTTTAGGTGTTATGCAACTTAAAATCTTGAGCAATTTTGTTGCTGCAAACATAAAAACTGTGAGTAATTGGCCATTTTGTCAAACATGCCAAAACAGCCTTTGTTTTTGCTAAGATTTGTTTTTTCCCTTTGTTTTCTTCTTCTTTTTGAAGTTCTTCTTTTTGAAGTTTGAAGTGACATCACGATGACGTCATTACATGACATATTACGTCATTAATTTTTCGAAGGCCTATATCAACAAAACTATGTCCCGATTGTGTTGTAACTTGGTATGTACCTTCGTTAGGATGTGTAATACATACAACTATCGGTTTATAATTCGACTTGAACATGCATTAACGAAATGCCGAAAAAGCCAAGTGTTTGTCCACAAACATAAGTAAATCTAGTTTACAATGTATCCATATTAGATAATACTAACTTGGGTGGACAGAAACTGTGAATAAACGTGACTGAAAAGATCACCTGGTATAACAATACAAAAGCTCTATGACATTATTTGTTGTTTAAAAAGGGACAAAAGTCTGGCTGTGTTATGTCTCTGGTGCCCTCTGTTCAGGTTTGTTTTCTTCTACGGGCTCCTCGTTCTTCGTATCTTTCCTCTCCCAAATCTGAAAAATTACAACAACAAAGACAAAAATTCAAGAAGTTTAACTACATTCAGTGTGATGCATGCATATTACAGTCTGTGATCATCCAACTTGGCATTTACCAATTACTTTTTTTGTATCACCAAGAAAAGAAAAGTATGCGCATTTCTTAATGGGTTGTGATTAAGATATGAACGAAACAATATCGTACGGAATACATCCATTTTTTATTCAAACAAATTTGTAAAATGGTTGGTGATTGTCCAATGTTTCGTCCCTGACTTCACCCTCTGGCAAAACTGGCCCCAAAAAAGCCAATATGGGCAAAAAAAATGGCAAATCTGGCAAAAAAAATGGCAACACGTGGCAAATCTGGCAAAAAAAAAATGGCCAAGACGTGGCAAACTGGATAAACATGGCAAAAAAGTGGCAAACATGGCAAAAACAAGTCAGTCACAAAGAACCAAGTATGGACATGGATTTTAATGTATCCTACCACTGTTCCACATGTGATTTACCTGTATGTATGCTTCTGACAGCGTGATCATCTGTGGTAGGATGTCAGCTACGTGCAAGTCCTGAATCTCATGCCACTTGCCTGTACTCTGAAAGACAATAAAACAACATCCAAAATTAACTCATTAGCACCTGTAATACATTGTATTACATTGGTAATACATTGTATTACATTGTGTCTATTCACTAATGAATACATAAAACTATACGAGTGCCCAAAATCTTAGTAATGGTGCATAACAACTGCCCTGACGAACGTTCAGCTTATTTGCAGTACATACTATTGACTTGTGCCCAATAAGTTTGTTTTGGTCTTGTACAAGTGGATTCAGTTGTTAGAGCTTCCAATTCGCAATTTGCCATTTTCACATTTTGATTTATTAATAAAACATTGGTACTGATTCTCATTCACACAGCGTATGGAGGTCGAGGTCCAAGTAGATGGGTAATCTTCGCAGTATTTAACAAACACTGTTAAATTATAAAAAAGTGTGCCATCAGGCACACTTGTACAAAGCACCTTTAATTATTGCTTCCTTCAATATTATACCAATTCAGGCGGAACAATTTCGCAAGGTGTTTGGTACAAGTCCTATCTTCACTTTGAGCAAGGATTTTCTCATAAAATTGTTGGGTTCGTATCTGGGTATAAATTACCAATGTTTGTACGCGCCTTTAATTTAAGGTAAATGGGCCATCAGTGAGATTAATGGGGATGATTAAGTGTCTAATTCTACAATTTTTAAATTTCTGTGCTGAGCCTAACAAATCTGGGCTTCAGAAATGTGAGAAGTGCAAAATTAGCTGGAATTTTGGCCATTTCGCTTTTAGGGCTTACTTTGTGTAGTACATGGACCTTGTAGATGCCCTTTCCCGAGCCCGGCTCCCCTTCATGTACGATGTTGGCGATCAGGTCGTAGCTGGTGTACGGATTTCTCTGACGGACCTCGGCATCGTCCAAGAGATACTCCGTGAAATCCATGTTCCTGAGGGAAAATCGTTGGTGAATAGCATTGTGAAAATTGTTTTGTTTATATTGATTGTAAGTTTATTGGCCACGTTGGCATCAAGTTACATCATCATCACTGGGCGGCCGCAGCCGAGATGGATGCAACCAAACTCTTCCAGACTCTCTTGTCCGCCACGGCCGTGGTGATGTCATCAACGTGCTGGCTCACATCACTGCATACAGTGTCGACGCAGTTGAGGGGTCTCCTCCCTCTGTTGGGGCAAGGCAATCTCCTGCAGATGAGGTCAGAGACAACTTGCTCTTTGGCTCTATCCGGTTCGTTAGTAAAAACGTCATACACGCGCGCGCACCACCGATTCCTAGCGCCCATTGGATAAACGCTCGAGGTGCGTTAACTTCCGGTTCCACTCGTGCTATGCTACACCGTGTGAAGTACGCATGGTTGAATTGAGATGACGTCACACTAACGAACTGGATAGCAACAGCCGGCAAGGCAAGCTCTGCGTTGTGCTACTGTAGTTGAGATAGGTGGGATGCTGCCGTATATTTCCTTTGCCTTTGTCTTATGTTCCTTCCAGGAAATAGTTTTGCGCTCTCATGAGGAGGCGAGTGTCGGTGCCATCTAGTTACAACTACTAGTTACAACTACTAGTTACAACTACTAGTTACAACTACAAGTTACAACTACTAGTTACAACTACAAGTTACAACTACTAGTTACAACTACTAGTTACAACTACTAGTTACAACTACTACCTACAACTACTAGCTACAACTACTAGCTACAACTACTAGTTACAACTACTAGTTACAACTACTAGTTACAACTACTAGTTACAACTACTAGTTACAACTACTAGTTACAACTACTAGTTACAACTACTAGTTACAACTACTAGTTACAACTACCAGTTACAACTACCAGTTACAACTACCAGTTACAACTACTAGTTACAACTACTAGTTACAACTACTAGTTACAACTACTGGCCTTTGAACTTTTGGAGACATGCACATCGGCTGCCAAGTATCGGCCACATATTGAGGCTTCAAAAAACAGGAAAACAATGAAATGTTTTACTCACTTGACAGGGAAGTTGACAATCGTTCTGTTCTTCTCAGTGAAGAAGAGGTTTTTGTTGAAGCGTTTCATGCAGAGTATGAGATATGGAGGCAGCCTGGTTAGATGGAATCGCTTGATGGTTGAATCTTTGTATGTCTTGTACTCCTGTTTAGCAATATACAATATAGGAAAATGTTCTAAGACTAAGAAAAGAACCAATTTTCTACTGTTTGGGACGCTTCTGCGTTGTAAAAAATTACACTCCTTGACATGTGCTAGTACTCATACTTGTGGAAAGTTTGAGTATGGACTTGTGGAAATGTAGTCACACTCGCACTCATGGGAAAACCTGCAAACTACTTGTACTTGTACTGATACTCATGGAAAACTACTTGACTACAACACTGGACTAATACTTCTGGGAAAGGTTTTTTAAATGAAGAATGATTATTTGCAGTAGATTTTTGAGTCTTACTTTCTCTGTCGTACCGTCAAACTTGGCCAGGAGGGAAGACAGCGGGATCTGAGGGATGATGTTCTGTTCAAACTCGTCCTTGAAAAGCGGGGCCTGGGGTATGTCCAACGTCAAGTACAGGAAGGGGGTCTCCGAAACAGTCTCTGCCAAAAAACAAAGGGTTATATTAATAAGAGAAAGTTGGCGGTTGCACCTCACGACCAATCACGAGGATTCGAACCCGCCACCCCTTTCAACAGAGGATTCGAACCTGCCAGTGTCAAATTCCCTGAGTTTTTCCCTGACTGGAAAAGTGGAATCTCATTTTCAAAGTTTTCCCTGATTTTCCAGGGTGACTGGAACCCTGCGTAGGTTATCTTAGATAGTGAGGATTCGAACCCACCACCCCTTTCAACAGAGGATTCGAACCTGCCAGTGTCAAATTCCCTGAGTGTTTCCCTGACTGGAAAAGTGGAATCTCATTTTCAAAGTTTTCCCTGATTTTCCAGAGTGGCTGGAACCCTGCGTATGTTATCCCAGATAGTGAGGATTCGAACCCACCACCCCTTTCAACAGAGGATTCGAACCCGCCACTGTCAAATTCCCTGAGTTTTTCCCCGACTGGAAAAGTGGAATCTCATTTTCAAAGTTTTCCCTGAATTTCACAGTGGCTGGAACCCTGCGTAGGTTATCCCAGATAGTGAGGATTCGAGCCCACCACCCCTTTCAACAAAGGATTCGAACCTGCCAGTGTCAAATTCCCTGAGTGTTTCCCTGACTGGAAAAGTGGATTCTCATTTTCAAAGTTTTGCCTGATTTTCCAGAGTGACTGGAACCCTGCGTAGGTTATCTTAGATAGTGAGGATTCGAACCCACCACCCCTTTCAACAGAGGATTCGAACCTGCCAGTGTCAAATTCCCTGAGTGTTTCCCTGACTGGAAAAGTGGAAGCTCATTTTCAAAGTTTTCCCTGATTTTCCAGGGTGGCTGGAACCCTGCGTATGTTATCCCAGATAGTGAGGATTCGAACCCGCCACCCCTTTCAACAGAGGATTCGAACCTGCCAGTGTCAAATTCCCTGAGTTTTTCCCTGACTGGAAAAGTGGAATCTCATTTTCAAAGTTTTCCCTGATTTTCCAGAGTGGCTGGAACCCTGCATATGTTATCCCAGATAGTGAGGATTCGAACCCACCACCCCTTTCAACAGAGGATTCGAACCTGCCAGTGTCAAATTCCCTGAGTTTTTCCCTGACTGGAAAAGTGGAATCTCATTTTCAAAGTTTTCCCTGATTTTCCAGAGTGGCTGGAACCCTGCATATGTTATCCCAGATAGTGAGGATTCGAACCCACAACCCCTTTCAACAGAGGATTCGAACCTGCCAGTGTCAAATTCCCTGAGTTTTTCCCTGAATGGAAAAGTGGAATCTCATTTTCAAAGTTTTCCCTGATTTTCCAGAGTGGCTGGAACCCTGCGTATGTTATCCAAGATAGTGAGGATTCGAACCCACCACCCCTTTCAACAGAGGATTCGAACCTGCCAGTGTCAAATTCCCTGAGTGTTTCCCTGACTGGAAAAGTGGAAGCTCATTTTCAAAGTTTTCCCTGATTTTCCAGGGTGGCTGGAACCCTGCGTATGTTATCCCAGATAGTGAGGATTCGAACCAGCCACCCCTTTCAACAGAGGATTCGAACCTGCCAGTGTCAAATTCCCTGAGTTTTTCCCTGACTGGAAAAGTGGAATCTCATTTTCAAAGTGTTCCCTGATTTTCCAGAGTGGCTGGAACCCTGCCTAGGTTATCCCGAACAGTGAGGATTCGAACCCGCCATTCCTTTTCCAATACCTTTGTACTCCTCCGTTTTGAGCAGTTCTTCCTTGTCTTTCTCCGGGGTTTCCATGGGGATGACTTTCCTCGTGGAGACGTTCATCCTTCCTTGGAAGGTGGTGTAGAGGATGCTGCTTTTGGCTTTCTTGGTGCCGCCAAGCGAGGCATGCAGGGCGTTCAGAAACCAGGACAAGAATTCCACTGGATCGCCTGTTCAAAGAATGAGGATAACTACATGTTTGTGGACAGACAAGTGGCTGTTTCGGCAATTTGTTTTTGTATTTTTGTGTCATTTTATAGACTGATAGGACATAGATGTGCAGTAGAAAGTTGCATAGTGATCAGTTCCAATAGTTCGGTAGCTAAAGGCTTATAATAATGCACATTTAAAGTGTCACATTTAATGGGAATATACATCATTTGCTTTTACTGTAATTTTCAGAAATGGATGGAATTATTGGGGGGTTGGAAATATATAGCAAATATAGTTACACTGACTTTTTTGAGGTTTTGGGTTCGAAAATGCTATAAAAACCAAGAAAAACAATCATTTTCCTGTAGTCTGGTTCCCTGACTCCATATAAGAAGAAACAGAGCAGTCTAGCTGGCTCGTACCCGTTCATAGGTTTGTAATCGATTGCAAACAAGGGCGATGGTCAATTGGGGCCAGTATTTGAAAAACAAGCCAGTTTTTTCCAATGCTGATCGGCCGATCAGCGTTGGAAATTGATACAAAAATACCACTTTTCCTGAAAATGACAGTATACCAGGTGCCATGATTTTACAGGATGCTTTACACTGTCATTCACTAACAGTCCAGCAAGGTATTTCAAAATGATTTGGTAGTTTTATTTTTTTGATGTTTGCAAATGTTGTATTTTCCCTTTAATGTGATGACGTCATCGAGACGTCACTTTAATTTCATCTATAAAACACCCAGGTCTAGGACCATACTAACTTTCAAACCAATCAGACCTGTCGTTCTGTAGATATTGGCCTTCAAAATATGCACTTTTAATATGACGTCACATGTCAGGTGATGACGATATTATGACGTCACTTGAATTTTCATCTATAACACATCCCGGTCTAGGTGTATACCAATCGGACCTGTAGTTGTGGAGATATAGGCCTTCAAAATATGCACCTATATTGAGACGTCACGTGACTCGTGACGACGCAAAATTTTCAGCACACATCTTCTGATGCTGGTCTAAGTATGTGCCGAGTATAAAGGCAATCGGGTTGATTTTAGTGCCCAAAGTGCCTTCCACGATGAAAACGTTTTCAAATGTTATGGACGGGAGTCTTAAAAAAAAAAATTAAAAAAAATTGGAACAAAAACAAAGGCTGTGCCACAAGAAATCTTCAAAAACAAAACAAAGGCTGTTTAGGCAGGTTGCCGAAACAGCCAATAAACTGCTTTATTGGACGAATCAGGTTTGTGTTTAAATGGTAATATTCTTTTAACGGATAGAGCAATTTCAGTAATTTTTCCATCTAAAAGTAGCTTATGAAATTTGCTTTCCAGTCATAATTATGTTTAATACTACACATTTTTTTAAAATATGATATATATTTTTGGGGTTTGGGTCCGTTTTCTTGACTCGCCCTGTATGTGGGCAATTTTTGAGAGATTGTTGACTTACCCTGTTTAGTGATCTGGAATCTCTTCTTGCTGCACAGGACGACCGACTGCAGCATCTCGTGGGGGCTGACGTGGGCCTTGAAGTTTCTCGGATTCCACATCTTGCGCATCAGCTCGCCGAACCGCTGCGACAAGAGGCACATGATGTCGCCCGGTGGCAACTTGATGTTGATGTAGTTCTGCTCCTCCAGAAAGTAGTCCCGAAGGGGGACGATGTGTGCCAAGGCCTGTTGATGACAAACCTCACTGGGTCAATTTTGGGCCTTGTGATGGACTTGTGGTAGACTTGTGATAGACTTGTGATGGACTTGTGATGGACCTGTGATTGGCTTGTGATGGACTTGTGATAGACTTGTGATGGATTTGTGATGGACTTTTGATAGAGTTGTGATGGACTTGTGATGGACTTGTGATAGACTTGTGATGGACTTGTGATGGACCTGTGATTGGCTTGTGATGGACTTGTGATAGACTTGTGATGGATTTGTGATGGACTTTTGATAGAGTTGTGATGGACTTGTGATGGACTTGTGATGGACTTGTGATGGGTTTGTGATGGACTTTTGATGGACTTGTGGTGGACTTGTGATGGATTTGTGATGGACTTGTGATGGGTTTGTGATGGATTTGTGATGGACTTGTGATGGACTTGTGATTGACTTGTGATAGACTTGTGATAGACTTGTGATGGACTTGTGATTGGCTTGTGATGGACTTGTGATAGAGTTGTTATGGACTTGTGATGGACTTGAGATGGACTTGTGATGGACTTGTGATAGACTTGTTATGGACTTGTGATAGGCTTGCGATAGACTTGTGATAGACTTGCGATAGATTTGTGATGGACTTGTGATGACTTGTGATGGACTTGTGATAGACTTGGGATGGACTTGTGATGGACTAGTGACAGACTTGTGATAGATTTGTGATGGACTTGTGATAGACTTGCGATGGACTTGTGATGTACTTGTGATGGTCTTGTGATGGACTTGTGATTGACTTGTGATAGAAAATAGCAATTTAATAAATCAATCTATTTTTCGGAATGAAACTCAAAAATAGCACGTGAGATCAAATTTAAACTACCTCTTTTTCCTAAACAGTTATAAAGTTTGTTCTACTTGCTAGCAACTTAAAACGACAATAATTTCATGCTTACGTGAAGAAGTACATTGCAGTAGTCGTTGGCCTTGATGTTGTTCAGCCCCACGATGCCCGGCAGATACGTAGTTTTATCGTAGGCTCGAGATAGCTTGGTGTTCCTGTCGAGGCTTTCAATGTGTTCCTTCTTAAACGTTGGCTTCAATACATACTGAAAAACAGAGAAACGGAAATTAGATCTTGTGGCTACAACCTTTTTTACCCTAAAACACACCATAAACATGTACTATTAGGGCAGTTCAGCGGTGTCAGACATACATTTTGGACAAAATCAACGGTGTACGTAATAAAAGTGATAATCCAAAAGTGGATTTGAATTCTGATAATACGCATCAGTTCCCCTCCCTCTCTGGCTGGCAATTTCAACAAGGCCAGCCCAGCCGTCAAAATACATCAAGTGACTGTTTTTGACAGTTGAGTGCTCCCTGCCTTCATAAAGCAGGATTGACTGGCTGTGATTGGTATGCAACTTGATACGTATGCTGGTGATCCCCGATGAATGGGTTTCTCCCATAAACCAGGTGAGGCCAAACCTTGTCAAATCTAATGTACAGGGTGAGCATAAACAAAAAGCGAAACCCAAATGTCGTGACCATTGTTTTAGTGAAGTTCTGAATGTAGCACTTTCAAAATCTAGGATATGAAAGCCCAATTCATAAGCTTTCTTTTAGTTCAAGAATCCTTAAAATCACTCATGTACTTTTCAAGATACAGACTTTTAAAAACAAGCACCATTTTTAAGTTCTGTCCATGAATCACAAAAAGGTAAGTGTTCTTTCAGCAAAACAAAAACAAATCACATACGGATGTGTGTGAATTGTTTTCGTTTTGCTGAAAGAACGCACACTTTTTTTGTGATCCGTGGACAGAACTTTAAAATGGTGGTTGTGTTTAAAATTCCGTAACTTGAAAAGTACATGAGTGATTTGAATGATTCTTGTACTAAAAGAAAGCTTATGAGTTGGGCTTTCATATCCTAGATGTTGAAACTGCTACATGCAGAACTTCACTAAAACAATAGTCCCGACATTTGGGTTTCGTGTTTTTTGACTCGCCCTGTAGTAAACTTACTGTGATGTCTTCTAACGAGGAATCGACGATTTCATAGTTGTCGGGCAGGCAGTAAAACTTGAGGGTGTGTAGGTTGAGGAACACGTGGTGGTTGATCTGGACGCTGTGGGTGTAGGCGTGGGACTTCCGGCCCCGCCCTAAACAGGCGTGGCAGATGAGAACATTTTAGTAAGCCGGAAAATTTACACTCAACAGAACTCAACCCATCAAACCCCAACGGCATGTTTTGTCAGAATCTGTCAGGACGGGTACAGTTAAAACTGACAGTCTTTCACATTGGGTTGGCACACCTCCAGAATCAAAGTCAGAAATATGCAGTTTCCCATATGGTGTTGGAATTTGCCAGGATGGGTATGGTTCCTAGTGAATCATGCTCGGGAGTTAGGGTTAAAGACTCTGTTTTATCATGTTCTGCTTATTTATTTGAAGAAATGTTGCAGATGTGGATATTTGGTTCCATTACTTGAAGTTAGCAAAATAGAGTTTTAGACCAAAATTCCAATCAACGTTCTCTTTTCCAACCGACCAAAGTTGGGATGATTTTAAAAAGTCACTTGATTTTTAAGTGTGATAAAAACAATTCCACATTTTATAAAACAACAAAAGGATACTAACAGGTGCATTACAATTATTTCTAAAAGTGGAACAAAATTACTTTCGGGAGTGGGGTTTGAACTTGTGACCTCCGCATTGCTGTTCCGGTGCTCTACCAACTGAGCTATCCAGCCCTATGTTGACGGTTCCCCATTTTGTAAATGCCTTTGCTCATGGGGCACTAGTCTTCTCTGAGTGATCCCCGTTTGCTATTTCCCAGGTTTGCAGCATTGCTTATGTTGCTAGCATCGTGACTTTGGGCGTGATCCCTGGCTACATGGGTTTATGGCTTCTGATCAGCGTCCCTTGATCAAAGACATTGACAAAATGGGGAACCGCCAACATAGGGCTGGATAGCTCAGTTGGTAGAGCACGGGAACGGCAATCCGAAGTGGCAGATTCAAGCCCTACTTCTGTCAATTTCTTTGTTCAACTTTACAACAAAATTTATTTTCTTTATTCACCAGACCTGCAAACTAATCTGTCTTTACCATAGATCTATATTGAATTACTAGAGCGCTAACTCCTCATTCTTGCGCGCGGAGACGCTCTGAAGCCGTCCTGGGCACAGACATTTTGAATTCATGTGCATGTTTGTAGAACATAATGAAATTAGATGGATTGAATTTTGAAAGTGTACTCTACATGCAACGCCAAGGAGAACACACGCAAACAACTTAAGCGCGTCATTGACGGTTACAAAAAACGTGACAGCATTTGCAGCGAATGCGAGCACGCGCTGCGCTGTTTGCGTAGAGCAAAATGAGACGCTCATTTGCTGATCGTTCGTTTTTGTTTTGGGCGTATCGGCTTCGATAATGCACTGGTATGGAATACAAACGCTGATATGCAAATAGACGTACAAAAGCCGTACAAAATTTCTAGTTCTCCATAAATTTGTGTACAAACATGGATGCGCCCATCAGGCATTACTTTGTACATCGAGTTAGTGCGCTAGTATTTTAATATAGCTCTATGGTCTTTACCTTGAAAATACTTTCCACACACAAGGCAGGCATAGACATTGAGGTGAGATAGCGACACCGAACACAGTTTCTCAAAGTCAAAATCCAGCAAAGTCCTAAAATACAAAGGAAGAAGATAAAAAAGTATTGTCATGAAGCTGGAGTTACCTCAGCCCTATATTTTATCATTGGTTTGTTATAATAGGAATGGAGTGAATTGAAGCGCACACCCGACAAACGTTTGTCGGCCAACTTCGGCTGCCGTTCTACCGCAGCCGTGATGCGACAAGCCTCATACTAGTGCAGCAGTGGCACATCAAACAGTCGTCGGGCGTGCGCTTCAGCGCCAGTTGCCAAGTTTGACTGGTGCGCGCTAGCGCTGTGCATGGTAATCGACCGCGCGACAATGTACAATATACCTGTTGATTGTGTCGAGGTAGGGACAGCTTCTGCTTTTGTCGATCTTGGGATCCTTCACAGGAGCTGAAAGCAAACAAAGTCAAAACGTGAACAAGAAAATTGAAATGAGGGCAAGCCATAACATATGGCAGTGTATTTGGACCATGAACCGGTCCCAGACTGTTTTGAGTATTGTACCTGCGCGGCACTGAACATGCGCAGTGACTGTTTTTAGGGGACTTTTACCGTGAAGAATCTTTGTCTGGTTCCCAGCTAATATTGTCGTTGTGACTCTGTGTTAAAGAGACGAGAATCAGACCTATACTTTTGGACTTTATTTCCCTTTAAAAAAAAAACCTCCAGAGGCAAAAATTTAGAAAAAAGAACACGAAACATTCTGCAAATTAAATGTGGGATTCAATTTAAAACAATAACGGAAGACAGCCCTCATTTTGGGCACGTTGGGGTAGACCAAATAACCGGGGGACTAGAACTCCTTTTTGTTGAATTGTGGATTTGGTCTGTCGTTCTAATTCGACAGACCAAATCCAAAATTTGAAAACAGGATTTCTTAAAAGGAATATACAACATTTGCAAACATCGAAAAATAAAACTACCAAGTTTTTGCGAAATACCTTAATAGGATGTTGGTAAATGACAGTCTAAAGCATCCTGTAAAATTATGGCACCTGGTATACTGTCATTTTCAAGAAAAGTGGTATTTTTGTATCAATTTCCAACGCTGATCGGCGATCAGCGTTGGAAACAACTGGCTTTTTTTTCAAATACTGGCCCCAATTGACCATTGCACTTGTTTGCAATCGATTACAAACCTATGAACGGGTACGAGCCAGCTAGACTGGTTCCCTGACCTTACAATTCCCCAATGTATGTAAACTGCTCTGTTTCTTCTTATATAGAGTCAGGGAACCAGACTACAGGAAAATGATCGTTTTTCTTGGTTTTTATAGCATTTTCGAACCAAAACCTCCAAAAAGTCAGTGTAACTATATTTGCTTTATATTTCCAACCCCCCAATTCCATCCATTTCTGAAAATTACAGCTAAAGCAAATGATGTATATTCCCTTTAAGTATGACAGACCAAATCCAACTTCGAAAAATGGAGTTCCAGCGCCCCAGTTAGTGGGTGAAGCTGGGGGAGGGGGGGGGGGGGGGGGGCGGAGGGAAGATTCATTCATTCATTCATTTCGGTTTTATTGTTAAAAAATGGTGACCAAAGCAAAAAAAGTCCAAGGACTTAAAATATTTGGTTGACATAATAAGCCTACTACTAAGTACTATCACTACCAGTAGGCCTAGTAGTAGTGTCACGCCCCAACTATCGCATCGGTCCCAACTATAGTTGGGACTGTCCCAACTATAGTGCGGCAGTTGGGTCGGCCCAACTATAGTTAGGACTGGAGTTGCGCCGGATGCTTCATGCTTGATAGATCTTGTTGGATTAAATGTTCCGTGGCGCTGGCACCGTGCATGCTGCAAGGCTGGCCGGTCACGTGGTACTGCCTAGTTGGATGAGTTGTCCAGCTGCTGGGTTTTATTATCCAGCAACATTTTGCAAAATTCAAAGATTGCCATGGCCGGCCAACTATAGATGGGCCCCACCCATAGCTAATGTCAAAGGTCCCAAGTCGGGACATGTAAGCAGAGCTGTAGGGAATGTTTTATAATCGTACATCAATGTAAACTATAGTTGGGACTGCCAAATAAAAATATTGCGGTGGCCCAACTACAGATGGTCCCCACCCATAGATCATTTCATTGGTCCCCAGTAAAGTCAGATGTGTATTAGAGTTGTAGGGAATGTTTTATAATCGTACAACAATGTACACTATAGTTGGGACCGCAAAATAAAAGATTGGGGTGGCCCAACTATAGATTCGCCCCATCAAGAGCTAATTTCAGTGGTCCCCAGTAAAGTCAGACGTGTATCAGAGCTGTAGGGAACGTTTTATCTCGGGGGCTTGAGCCCCCTCCCCCCGGCCCAGGTTATCAATTTTTTTTAGGGGGGAAATTTTTTTTGTTAGTCCCACGATTTTACCTATTTTCGAGTAGTATAATAGGGGTGTAAGTGGCGCCACTAACGTCAAAATAGTCCGCTCCCCGAAAAAAAACTTACAATTTTTTTCTGCGAGTGCGACCAAAAATTCTGGGCAACATTTTTTTCAAAAAAATTGAGACCCCCCCAAAACCAAATCCTGGGTGCGCCACTGAGATCGATCGATCGATTGCGTTGAAGCATTAATATTGCAACTGTCAATTCGTAATAAAAAACAACAAAGAAATAGAAATTATCACGTATTGAATGCAATACAGATTTGCGATACAAAAGTTGGGTACCGTAAAAAAAGGAAATTCATAGCACAATCCATTGACTTCCTTTGGTTACCCCATTTTGCAATAACAATCTGCAACGAAGCATGTCGCCATATTTACCAATTTCATCGTCGCTGTCGGAGAAATCGTCGGGAACATCGACAAGTTTGCGTTTAAGTCCAACGCCGCCGGAGACCGCCATGTTTTCAAGTAGATCGAGGACACTAATGTCCAAAACCCATGTTGTAAAAGGAGTACGCAGTTGTCAACAAAACTAAAATTTGTTTCTCCTAAGAATCCTGGAGGAAAAACACATTCCATTCTCAATGCACAACTACGTCAAATACGTATCATCACATGTATTTTGAAATTAAACAAAAAATATAATACTTAATTGTGTAGCTTTATTTAAACTTTTATGAAAAAATAAGTTAAATAAATTAAAACTGCACCATTAACATAAAACAACATGGGGTAACAATCCTTATTTTTTCTGTTACCAAAGTAAATACACCTTGTACTGCATGGATCTTGTACTATCAAACTGGTATGCAGATTCATTTGGCGCAGGCCAACTTGTTGAGAAAGCCTTACTACTTTTGTGTCAAAATGTCGGTTTTTAGACCGTGTTTGCGATCATTCCTCTCCAAAAAGAATGCCTTTGGGTCACTGAGTGCCTCAGCGTTTCATAGAACATCTGTGAAGTATGTATTATCCAATTAATACTAAATAGGCCCTAACAAGTTTGTTTGTACATGTAGGCATGACTGGTCATGCTGGTGGTGGTGGGGGGGGGGGGGGGGGGGGGGGGGGGGGGGGGGGGGGGGGGGGGGGGGGGGGGGGGGGGGGGGGGGGGGGGGGGGGGGGGGGGGGGGGGGGGG